TAAAATCCCTAAGAAAAGTCATAATTTAAGAGTTTAAAAGTAATAATTTAAAATACTGGAATATCAAGAACATTTGTTTTGAAAAATCGTTTGAACTCAAATTGTAGTTTAAAATAAGTTATATAGGATAACGGAAGCATGTAAACCCAAAATCAGCACTTTAAAACACAATTGGGACATCCTAGAAAATTCTAGAATTGGCACCATGCGCCATGGCGCACACTTGCTATTATGATAGCACTTTAGACCATCTTCCGGAGCACGCCATTTCGCCATCCAACATCTAATTTGAACGGTTTAAGTGTTCATATGTAGCTCTTCAAACTCTTTAGCTATTGGTACTGGCTTCATACCTAAATTCTCAACTATTAGAAAGTTAAACACCCAAACCAAAAATAGTCCGCCTTCAACCCACAACACACTCAAGGTGTTCAAAACTCACAACCTAGTGCCAACAGCCTTGGAACCACTTATACCAACTCAAATGAACGACATACAATCTAATAGGCCAATCAAATCATAATAATAACCATCCATACATAAAATGACCATCAAAATCCCCAGTTCACAGCATTAGCAAGGTGGGTGTCTATAATTCACCATAGTCATTTTGACCAGCATAACACATAATCACCAAAAACATATCACTTGCTCTAATATTTTGACATCTCACAATAATTTCAAACATGTACATCAATTTAGGTCGAGATACGCCCTCATGCATCACAATTTTCATGCCCTTAATCTGTCCTCGGTAGTCATTTCCTTCCTTTTGCCCCTACTGGAGCCCTTACCTTATAAAATATAACCACGAGGTGAGATAAATATTTTAGTAATAAAATAATTCATTACTATCAATTAGCATACACAACTATAATTGAGTAAAGCTCATATAGGTAAAAATATTCATTTAGCATATTCAAACATATCCTTTCTATCGACACAAGTCATTTCCACTCTAGCATGATAATTCTACCAAGTGCACATTTACAATAGCCCGATGTCACGGGCTGAGAGTCTGGCGCAGCACACGGCGCCCGTGCGGCGTCCTGGAGGACCCCATAATCCTCAGGACAAGCCTTACCACGTACGGATCACACTGGTTTCGCCCTGCCATGGGCTCATCAGGGAGGCGGCACTAGCCCCCGACCAGTTGTGCACACAGTCCGAAGACTGAGGCAGAACACCCCCAATGCTAATGTCGCCCCCTTTACCCATATTGTGCGAGGCTAACCAGCGGACCGTTCATTATCTTGGTCTTTACACGGTCACGGAAATATCATCCGTGACACCGAGCTCACCTTCAGTGGTAGGATCACCCGGCCAAAATATCATATCCTACTGCTAAACTATGGTTTCCCTTATCACATATGAATCAGAGTGTTATTACTCCAACACCGCATCACTGATGCTAAGCAGCATCAATCTTTAACCCCGTATCCCACTTGGATATTAAGGAGATAATCTCCAGCACTGTATCTTACTAGATACTAAAGAGATACATGCCAGGCTTCTACTACTACTCCCTATAAGTAAACTCTTACCCCTTATCATAATCATGCTTACACTTATTATACATACCACATATTTATATTCAAATTACATTTAACTCATAAAAGAGATTTTCATAAATTTTCATCATTTTAAAATCTTTTTAAATGTACAAAAACCTTATTTCACAATATGCAATGCTTTCAAAATACACGTGGATAATTTACATTTCTACTCACAGATAGTTAAGCATTTAATTAAATAGAGTAAATTATTCTATTATCTCAATCTTTTTGTCATAAAAAGGGGTTACCATGGTCTAACATTTGTTCCACACGCTCCACACACGCACTAACACTCCAGCAACACTTAATCTATACAATTAAGCAATAATTTTCAATTATTACTCTAATTACACCCTTATATCACTAAATTTTGGGTATCTATTATACTAAACTATCTCATTTCATCAACCTCAACTTTCCTAACACACTCCATTAATCTTATTTAGCATTCAAACATACTAACATCGCCAACTATTTACTCACTTTGTTTTAAAACTCTCAAATTATACTTAGGATTCGTTCAAATTCCAACCGAAAATTTTAAATCCATATAAAACCCATAAACCTAGGTTTAGAAACTTGATTTAACTTCTCAAAACCTTAACTAAGTTAATGAGTTCTGTCTAAACTCAAGAAAAATGAAAATCAAACCCTACATTACCACAACCTTCAGAAAATTCACATATGAAAGGAAGGAAAAAGATAACAAACTTACCTGATGTAATAACCAAGAAAAAAAAATAATTCACGTTAAATTTAAATTTGTAGTGATATAATTTAAATATATTTTTATTATTTTTATGTTTAAATATAACGAGAAGGAATATTAGTCTTGTGAAAATTGAGTTAATCACTTATCCATCAAATCCTTACTTTGAAGCTTGCCGATATAAGAGAGAGAATTTTGTTTTATTTCAATCTTTGTAAAATTTCCAAACTGCCCTCTTTTTTACAAAAGTAATATAACATCAGATTTTTTTTTTTTTTTTTTTCCCGTTCTTCCCTAGTTCTTCGAACCAGCCTGACCCTGAGAGAAGCGTCGAACACCCCGAATTCTCTACCTCTCCCATTTTCCTACTTCTCTGCCTTGCGACCACAGTTCTCAGCCAAATACATCGTATATGTCGGCGGCGGTAGCTAAGGGTGCTTCAGAAGTTGGTTGTTCTTCCTTCTCTGTTCAATCTCTACTCATCGGACGGCCTCTTCTTCTGGGTTCAGCGTCGCCGCCGAGCTCACAGCTGCTTTCATTCTTGTCGTCGTCATCGTCGGAGGCTGTGGATAGCAGGAAACTCCCTCCTTATTCTTCCTCTGTACGCGTGTTGCTGTGGACGCTGTTGTGGGTTTGCAATGTTCCTCCTCCCCTGTTTCCATCCATTTCTTCTTATTTTTTCCTTCTCTGTCATCATTGATTCAGGTGCTTGAGGAGCTGAACCACTGTCACTAAAGGCTTGATTCATGAACTTCTCCCTCTTTGATTAACGCATCTATTGTGTTGAGCATCTCCTCTCCCTCTGTTTTTTTTTTCTCTTTCATCGGTGCTGTTTTGAGTTGGGGAGGAGGACTTTAAATTCTTCAATTCGCTGCTTTCTCTACTCCTAGATGAGTTTCGAATTTTCCCCTTTCTTCCTTGCGTCCTCAATGTTGGTTTTCTGATGTGGATAGTAACTTGGTTGTTGTTTAAGGAAGATAAATGTAGAGCTGAATGTTTTTCTTACAGCTTAAAATTGATTTTTGTGGTAGTTGGAAAGTTTGAATATAAAACACTGATATAGGGAAAATCTTTGGTAGGGGAATTGAAGTAGGAGAAGCTGGATGTTTGTTTCAACATTGATGCGCTCGAGGTGTTTGTAAAAAGACTTGAGAAAATTTTGTTTTGTGCTGGTGAATTTATGTGATGACTATATTGTGTTCATGTTAGAAGAAAATTTATTATGTTGTAGGAAATTTAATAAAATTCTATTGTAAATTATAAGATTTGAAGAGAAGGGAACTTGGTAAAATGCTTGTTGGATTAATTTGACAAATAATGGCAAGATACTTGTGATTGTTTGTAATTATAATGTTATAGAGGGCACCTTACAATGGAAGTTGAGTTGAAATCAGAGAGTTTTGGAATAGGTATCATGGTTGGTGATTCATGAGCTAAATTGCTGCTAATATGTTAGTCTCTAGAATTTTTATGAAATAATTGATGCCATGTTTGAAAAATGGAGGAGTTCAAATTTATCTATTTTTATCATTTGAATTAAGCTATACTGTAGACTTTGGGTTGTAAAATGTATATGGAAAAATAATTATGGTATTATTTGGGCACTAGGAAATTAAAGGCCAAGTATCATTGCAAGAAGATTAATTTGGAAGCAAATTATATTTTGGAAAGCCTTCAAGGAAGTGGATAATATCTCAACTGATTATCAATAAAATTATTTTTCTGAGATATTATGTTTTTATGTGGACTATTTTAATAACAACTCTATTTAGTATGAGATATTTTGTAATTTAAATTTCTTTATCTTGTGAAATTACTTTTATTCACTTTGGTGATTTTAATTTCTCAACAATGCAAGTATGAAAAATTAGTTATGAAATTTTATTCTGACAAGTTTTGATATTTAAAAACAATCCATGCGAGTTTGATTTTGAGAATGCAAACTGCATTTTAATAGTGGCAATTTTCTTGCATGTTTGGAAGTAAATTTGGAGGGAATTTTATATAGAACATTGGTTGTTAACGACAGTTCCGTTAGCACTTGGCATCATGATCGATAACTAGCTAGTTTGATTTTCGTGAGTTTTATTCTCACGTTTGTTATTCGTGGGTCTAATACTCACATTTGTTTTGTGGTTTCAAACCGCGTTTGGTTAGTATTACCCTCTTGAATTATGCATCCACATTTATTTCTTAGCTCAAGCTACGTTTGATTATTTATCCTCATGGATTGTGTGTTTAAGTTTGTCTTTGTGGCTTATGTCGCATTTGGTTATTTATCCTCGTGGACTGTGTGTCTATGTTTGTGAATTATTCTGATAAATCCCTAGAAGTATGAATTTTTAATTAATTGATGATCTCATATTTTAATGGTTTTCTCTTTGTAAAACAATATTATTTTTATTTATTTAATCTATTTGACTTGTCAAGATCAAGTGTTAAAGATTCTTTGTCATTAAGGTTCTAAAGTTTCATGATACTGAAGTTGCATAAATAATTTTATTCTAAGTTTACTAATTTTATTATTTTGTATCGCTTTCTCTTTAATTTTCATAACGTTGTAAATTTTTCATTTTAATCCTACAAATGTTATGGTTGGGGCATTATTCACTGAAAAATATTTCTTTGGCTTCAAATATATTAACTGTTGTTGTACCTACTGTTGATCAATAAAGGGCTTTAGCATTGAGTTGAAGTGAAGAATGGTGGATCAAGTCTCTTCGGATGTAAACTTAAATTCATGTATTATGTTTTGTAAACGTTACGATAGGTTCTCCGCATAGGCTATGGATAGGGTTCTTATTTTGTTAAATACTCCATATGCTAGTTGGAAGGAATTGAATTCTTGGTTGTTATGATATTTGTGTTGTAAAATTTTGGAAGGTCCTACATACAGATGAAATTTTGTTAGAATTTTATTTTTGGTGTGTGACACCCAACAATAATCAACCTCCCAAATGCTTCCAATTTGCTCCCAAATCCTCTCGTTTTCTTTCTTTCTTTTGAAATCAAACTCGAGCTTGCGTTTGACAAAACCAGATTTATGTCCATTCGTTATGGTATATGGGCCAAAGATGCTCAATCACGATTTGGGCCTCTCTCCATATCACAGCCTATTCAAACTTGAACCTAGCCTACTTTTAAGACTGACCAATGATCCAATAACCACATAGCCTACTTTTAAGACTGACCAATGATCCAATAACCACATAGTGTTCTAAAAATAATATCAATAAAAAATTCACTCAAATTTACCAATCTACCCTCTAAACACTTAAAATTTTCAGATTTAAATTCTAGGATTTAAAATTTCCAATTAGGCCTCACTAATTCGCATTTGGACCCACCATGTCTCCACCACAACGGATGCACTTTGCGCATAGCAGATTTGCAAAATTTTGGTTAAATTATATGCATTCATGAACTAATGATGGAAGCAACATCATGCTAATAACGGAAGGAAATGAAGTAGCAAGAGTTGATAAAGCTCTTGATTACGTCTGTATTCACCACAAGATGCTACCATAAGCACTATGAATCACTAAACTTAAAAAAAAATAAGAAATACACTTATTATTCAAATTCAACTTACAATACAATAAAGAAGTGCATGTTGAGAAATTTTTAGATAAATTAGGTGCATCGTGTCATTTGTAATTTGTCCAATTAAATGTTCCAAATTATATACATAAAATCTTACATGACATTATTTTAATTGATTTTATTCTTATATGCATAGTTAATTTTTTGCACTCAGTCCATTTAGGAATTTCTTGTGCACGCCTATATATTACTCAAGACTCAAAAGCCTTAATTTAGAAATCCTAGTTTGATGACAATACTAATAAAATAATGAAAATCAACCAAATAATCTAAGGATTATATATCCTAAAATCATCTGATTATATTATTAGATAAAATTCTAATCTAAAAATAGGAAACAAAACTTAAATAAAATATTAAAATAATATATAAATATTAAACCAATATCTAAATTATTAAGCTAATCAATTTGAAGCAATCAAGGGATATGTCATCATTTGTACAATTATCCATGTGATCCTTTTATTTTTATAGGCCACTGGTTGATTGTTGGCCTCTTGCCTTGTTTCACCACTTTTGCATTGTAGGCCTCTTGGCATTGTTAAGCTTGTTGGACATGCGGGACCCATATTCTTTCACTTAAAATAGTGAGGAAAAAGAAGAGAAACAGGAGAGGCGAAGGAGAGGAGATATTTAACTACTAGGGCTTCATCATTTGACCTAGTTAGAGGCATTCTAAGCTAAAGAAATACTTGAGTAAGCTTCCTAACCCTCCTCCCTCTTCTCATCTCAAATTTGCAATAGGTTTGTGTGTGGATTGCTTCATGTTTTGGTGGCTCTTGCGTTATGACATGTAGCACAAAAATACTTTTTCTACTGTCCCAATCCTAGGTCTGAACCCACTACCCTCTAACCACACACCATATTGATTTATTTAATTAATTAACCTCATTTAATTTAATCGGGGTTAATTTTCTAAGATGTTACACTATGCACTTGTTCAGCATGCTATTACATCCCACATTGGGGGGGACTTAGGGAGGGTTGGGCATATAAGTACGTGCACTACATACCCTATTGAGCTAGCTTTTTATAGAGAGAGTAATACCTAATAACAAAGTAATATCAGAGACGGACCTAAGTTTATCCAATTGGTAGACCTTTCCAGTGGGCCACTCATGATGGGAACGTCATGAATTGGTTGTGGGAGCTGTTACGTCCCACATCGAAAGAATTTGGAGAGGATTCTATGCATATAAATAGGTGTGTTGCATATGTCATTGAGTTAATTTTTTAGGAAGATGATAATGGCAAATGATAATACATTGCCCTTTGGGGGATGGTTAAAAGTGTGCTCTTGATTGACACTCGTCATCGTCCTTTAAGGGATCAAGCCGAGGAAGGTATGCAGCCTAAAGCACACATCAACAATCATGTAGGTAAGGAAAAAGGAGTGGGCACCGAGTCAGTGTACTTCACCTATAGTGGTACAAGGGACGACAGGGGAAATGCACCTACTCTCCGTTCATCTCCCCTTATAGGTTGGCATAAGAGGGGGCATATGTATCTTCCTATAAAGGAGTTTGGGGAGGGATGTGGGGTTCATGTATTTAAGATCACATGATCTCTTCTAATAACACATACCTCCAACCAGCACCCAAAATAAAAATTTTACAAAAAATATAATAACATTAAATCACATGAAAATAAAAATACCTCTTCTCCTCATACCAATACCAATAATTGCAGACGTCCTTTAATGACACCTCTTCATTCTACTTTTTTTTTTTTTTGTCCGTCCTTCGTTAGGCACACCATCATATGTCCAACAGTAACTACTAAACACATAATAACACTCAAGCTTTTATCCCCATGTAATAATTAAAAAAGATGCAGAAGTAAAGATGCACAAGTCTATTTCTACTCAATGTATACAAAAAGGAAGGATCCAACGTCTATTTGTGGTATTTTATCAAGAGAGTGATTACTTTTTTGTTGTGTTTCTCTTTATATTCCAGTTACATGCATGTTCCATGTTGTAGTCAATTAGCTAGCAAGTTACATAATAATAATAATAATAATGATAATAATGATAATAATGATGATAATAATCAGTAGTCAAACTCAATACCAAAATGCCAACATGTATGTTTATTTAATATTGTCTCTCTTTAATAAGCACATTACTTCAATATACATCGTTTCTTCCTTAAAAGACCGTATGTATTGAAGGCAAGGCAAAAAAAATTAAAAAAAGGTAAATTTAATTTAATTTTATTGGAAGTTGGGTGAAACTAAAGGAAAAGATTTTCTTCTCAAAAGGATCACAGCTACCCAACTTTTTTCCTATTTGAGTCTGAAAGTTACTTGAAAGCCACTTTAACATCATTTAAGTTTACTTAGCATCAATCCAAGAATGGAACTTTCTTTCCATTACAAATCAAGTAATATTTATTTTATTGTTTTTGTTTCACACTGTTATCATTATTCATAATTTACAAATATCATTTTTGTTTCAAAAACCTACTTTATCATTCAATTTTTTTCATCGATTTTATTATATTTTATGTTTACCAAACAATAACATTGCTTGGGGGAAAAAGACTCAATATAAAACAAGGTTTAGTTGCACCCTTTACAAGCTAATAATTTCAATCAATAAAAGACTAAATTTCCCAAGTTAAAAACTAAAACTGACACCATTGTTTTAAAATAGAAAGACTAAAAACCGCAAAAACCCTTCCCCATGTTCTGTCACATGTAAGACAAAGGGGGAAAGCAAGAAGTAGAAATTTTACTAAAAGCAATTTTACGATAACTTTCCAACAACTCATCATATTCCAGCACTTGTGGAATAACTTCAACTTGGTCAAAATTTAGAGGAAAATGAAGTTCAATTAGAAACCAAGCCATCCTAGGATATCAGAAATCAGAAGCAAGAGATAAATGGAAAAAACAAAATTCCGGATGTGCTAATTATGAGAATTGGCAACTGCTATTGTAATGTTTCTAGATATCAAGAAGTAATAATTTCTTTTGCTTATTTATTCAATCCAGCTTTAGGTTTTAGCTATGCCTTACTGCTCTGTGGACTGCTAACTGATACAATTTCTATACTTTTTGATTAAATCTGTACATCAAACATTTTCCAAAACCCTGTTTGGGTTGCTGATGGGCATAGTTCCATCAAACTTCACAAACAACTTCCTCCATAAATCCCAAAGTGGCTTTCCATAAAATCAGTTCCAATCCCTATTTGGGAAGTGTAGATTGTTCATGTTATCTACGCACCAATATGAATCTGGCAACAAATTATTAGGTTTTGAGCATTATATAACTAGGTAAATGACCAATTGAGATCAAAACAAAGCATTCCATTGAGAGTTCTAAGCCTTTTTTATTCACACTGATATTACAACAAAATGTATTAAGACACAACTATGAATGCATATGTAATGGGTAAGTTGCATAAGGTTTTCTTTTCTAAATGATCAAAATTTCTCTCAACCCAGGGCTTCAAACTTATAATTTTGATTCAGATCATATTCATTACAAGCAAAAGAGGAGCAAGAAGGCATTATAGTAAAGAAACACTGAGCATGGTTGATTCTGATCTGGATCTGATAACTATTCTACCGGAGGCTACACTATTAATTAGGGTACATTACTTATACCATATATATTGGTTACAGATAAGGGAACTACAGGACAAAAAATAAGTATTTCACTCCCTAATGATATCCACAATTACCTCAATAAAAAAAAGCAAAAAAAAAGCAGGTGGGAAGGCCTAGGTTAAGTATTTCAAAACCTAACAAGATAACTATTGGTTAAAATTGCTCATGCTTAAGTGAAAGGCCTATCACAGAAAACTACTTAACAACGTCAATGATGTGAGGAACGGATGGCTACAACTTTATAAGATAACTATGAAACGAAATATGCCCAAATAAAGTATTTTAACACATGGCAAAGACATGGTATGATTTCCAATACACAGTAAAAAAAAAAAAAACAGCAGAAGAAAGCTGCCATATTTCATAGAAAAAACTTTGTTCCTTCTTTTCTTTCCCTTTAATTTATCACAAGTAAATCATATTATAGAATAAGTTCAAATAAGGAACAAATAAGTTCAAATAATAAGGAAAAGTTAAACCTTTCTTATTCCATCGAGGCCTGTCAGAAGTAATCAAAGCCATGCCATGCAACACGTGGTCAGTAATTGATTCAACACCCTTTTGCCAAGATTGACCCAAACGTTTCCTTTTTGAGGTCTACAGCACGCATAGACGCCGTGTAGAGAGAGACCACTTTAATTATTCTACGTTTCATATCAGTAATGGTTTAGGTATTTTGCGTATCTTGTGGTATTTGTTAAAACAAAAAAATTAGTACCTAATATCCAAAGGTCTCAAATGGATCCTAATACCTAGTGTTATTGATCGTGCTTTTCCTTTATTTTTTTGGCTAAGTTTAAACAGAAAAATAAATCGACCAACAAATGCAGGCAACCGTCTATAAGTACTTATATCTCCAACTGAAAGATCGAATTGGTAATTCATTCAAAATAAGGGAACTATTGGAGAATATATTTGAGAATCAATCTCCACTTGAAAGCAGAAAATCTAATCTCAGAAATGTGAATAACAAAGCACGATAGTTGACACTTGGCAAGTCATACTCTTGTTGATCTTTTAAAATGAAAATCAAACAGCAAGAATTAAATTCCAGTTACAGTTTACTGCCATGAATTAAGGTGCCAATAAAAAATCGACATACTAACTTTATAGATAAAAACATTAAATTCCAATTAGTTGAGAAACAAAATGTAAATATAAGAGGCCATTTGATCTCTTGCAATTAATTTTGACGTTTGTGCTTTACTTCATGTACAAATTTTATAATCAAACTTCAATGCAAGGATGAAATGCAGTTTTATTTTATAAATTTATAAGCTAAGATGAATAGAAAGGTGAGTAGATTTCATAGTCTTTGAAACCATTGCGGAAATCAAAGAACGAAAAGGGAAGGGAAAGAAATCATCATGATATTACAAAGTTGATTGACTTTTTGAAAGAAAAAGAAACGATCATGGTTCATGAATTACCAAATCTCACCCACATCTAGAAGAAAAACTTCTCTATCTATAGCACCTTATTGAGCCATCTATTGAAGAAATTTGCGCCTAATTTAAATTTGAAACTCTGCCAAGCAACCCAACTGCATAACGTTCCTATTGTATCGTAAAGAGAGAATTCAATGGGCTAATTCCAGCTGGCTTCAACACCTATATAGTTTAAAGCTAAGTCGTCAGCACAACGAGGGAAAATAAAAAACAAAAGAGAAGGAATTAACGAACCTAATTGCGAGACTTGCGTTTGGAAAATACGACTTTCTCTGGGTGAATGAGATACGATCACAATACTTTGATGGGGTTATGTGGTTAGGGTTTGTTCCCAAGAAGAAGAACAATTCTACCTAGAGCCTCCTCCAAATTAACGTAGAGAGCGCGAATTAGAATTTTTTAAGGTAAAGGAAAAGAAAATAAAAACACAGTAGATTTCAATGCCTTGAAATTATTGCAGACGTTGAGCAAGGAAAAGGCAATCGAAAGAAATAACCATGACATTACGAAACTGATAATCTTTTCGAATAAAAAATATGATCATGATCTCACCTTTGGAAGAAGAACTCCTCCACCCGGAGCCTCCCTTGATTTGAATGCAATTATTCGTTTAAAATCTGAAACTCAGTGAACCAACCAACTGTTTATATAGCGTTTTGATCGAGCCGTTAAAGAGAGAATTTGATTGGCTAATTCAATTGGCTTCAACGGCTATGTAATTTAACAAGACTGTAAATAGCCGTTAAAAGCCGAGAGATTCAAACATATAGTACAAGAAGCAAAATATACAGCCCTTGTTGTACATGTGGTAACATTAAGTGTGGATCTTCGTGAACTCGCTCTAATTTAATATTTTCAAAATTAACATAATTCAATTGATAATTAATTAATACAAAATAAATGTTAGCGTTATTGTTATTACTTCCATAGAAGTCAATATTATCTGATGAATTATTTGATTCCAATTTTTTTAATTACAATTCTTTAATGTTTAGAAACTATTTAATTACTTTATCAATTGAATGTTTAAAATCTGATTACTTAATCAATTATTACTTAATGAATAGAAAAAATAATAATAAAATCTCCTAAATTATATAAATTTCACTTAAGTCCTTAAAGACTTTTGTGTTAATAAATTTTAAATTAAAAATATCATTTTATATTTATTAATAAGTTATAATTTTTTGTTCAATTCTTGTAATTTTTTAAATAAAAGTTATTATTCTTTAAACAAAAGTCTTGAATAGAGTTTGTTATTTTAAAAACTTATTTTTCAATAATTAAAATTACATTTAACAAGTTGTGATTTATTATTCAACTCTTGTGACTCACAAAATAAAAATTATTTTTTCTTAAATAAAAATTATAATTGGAGCTTGTTTTTTAATAATAAAAACTATATTTAACAAGTTAGAATTTCTTATTCAACTTTTGTTATTCATAAAATAAAAATTATTATTCCTTAAACAAAAGTTATAATTGAAGCTTTTTATTTTCAATAAGAGTAAAATAGTATTTTTACTTTAAAATTTATTAATACAGAAGTCTTTATAAATTTTAGTGAAATTATGACATTTTATGAAATTAGATTGTCATTTAAATAATTTAGAGAGACTTTATTATTATTTTCTCTAATGAATACTTGATAGATTAGTTGGAAAGGAGCAATTGGGTGAATTTAGACATGAGATATTGCATGTGACCTCTAAAGATAACTAAAAATTCATGCATTGTTGAATAAATTAAATATTACAACATTGAACATACATTTTTTTAATCAAACCCCAATATTTCAACCATTAGATACATATGACTACATGCAAAATATCTTTATATATGTATTGATTAGTACCCATGATGCACGGGGTTCAAATCTAGTTAAGTTAGATAACCTACAACATAAATGATTGGGAGTTTTCCAAGTTTATTATACATTTTATATATTCTATAATTATATAGATTAGTTTTTGGTATGTAATTCTTGTAATAAAATTTAAAGACTTGTGGCCTATAAACAATGGCATGCGCGAAGTGATTGTAAACTTGAAGTGAATGAGAATTTCTTCTTATTTTCTCCTTTAACTCTTTCTTGTCTTGTTCATTTCTCTCTTTTGAATCTCTTATATTCTGTTTATTTTTATAATACATTATTAATATGACATTCTACCAAATTAGTTCATGGTATAAATTTGAAGAATTTCTCATTGATGCTTGTTGATTTTTGTTCATAGCATAGAGAGATGGTTTATTAAAATAGAGATAAAAATTTGTAAACTTATTTAAAAGGAATGATGACCTTGCAATTTCAAAGAATGAATAAATTTTACTTATTAATGGCTAATTAGAGATTCATATTGATGTATAAGAATTTATCTTATTTTTTTCTTTTTTCTTTATTGGAGGGAAATTAAAAGCAACAAAACAAACAAAAACGGAAAAGGAAAAACACTAGGGAGGTCATAGCAGCTCTAAATCAGACAATCCATTCGCCTCCAAAGCATAGAACCTAGGAGAAAGTGATAGAGATCGTTTAGTTGAATCATGTGGTATTTGCCTTAGATGTGTCCTCTAATTACGTTGAAGAAGCTCACGAATTTATCCAGAATCTTGTTACAGTAAACATGCAGACAAGGGATTAGCAAGGGTTATGACCTCCTAACTTTTTAATCTTTTTTTTAATAAGATGTAAGGGCTATATATTTTCATTTAAGTTGATACATTATAAAAACCTTTAAGACATTAGATAAAATTTTCATTTTAATTCTATATTAGTGTTTTATGCATGTATAGTCTAAATATTTTAATAGCTTGAAGATATAATTGTCATATGATTTACTTGTTTTTAACAACATAATGTTGCAGTTGCTCTTAAAACATTGATGTCATTTGATTTTACTTTTGTTATATATTTAATAAAATAAATAATAAAAATTATTACTAACAAACTTTATCAAGCACTACAACAAAATTTGTAAAATATACTGAATGATATGTGCTTGATATATACTATAAAATTACTTATCCAAAAGTTTAGAATTTATGTGTGGTTAAGATATGTTCGTTAAAAAAATTACTTTTTTTTTGTAATAACAAGCTATTGAAATTTATTATATGAATAATTTTTTACCACGATATACTTAGATTTCATCGACATAAAGAATTATGACAACCGTGCATCGTTATCATGTTAATATATTATTTACTATAATTATTAATTAAAAAAATTAAATAATAAATTCAGTAAGCAAGTAATAATGTCTTTTAAATTGAACAAAACTTTAAATCCCAAGAATGCATTTAAAATATTCATTTTTCATGAAAAAGATGAAATCCTCGTCAATTTAATGATAGTTTATATTAAAAAAATTAATAAAAAATTTAATGTAAACATGATAATTAACTATTCTTATGCCATAAAAATTGATAAGTAAAATTAAAAAATTAAAAATATATATTTATTTTTGTTATATATAAAAAATTAAAAAAAAATATACCTTAAAATATTTATGTTATGTCAGTTTTATATATAAATTTAATTTTTTTATTATTATATATGTTTTTACTATTTGGACTCTTTTTATTAAAATTTTCCGACTCTGACCCTATGTGTAGATCAACATATCTTTCTATTACCCCTGTCCCAACCATTCTTCAGGCCCGCTAAGCATACCCATGGCTTCCCTTTTCAGCGTCCCTATCGTGCCAGACTTCTCCAGTATAATCTTACTTTATGTCGTTCTCATATTTTATATTTGACAATTCAAAATTTATTTTTACATGTTTGTTATAATGAATTTGATATCTATTGATATTTTAAAATTATGTTATTGAATAGCCCTAATCATAATACTCTTGATCTTGTGATTAAATGACCCAAGATTACATCACTTTTGATAATAGTCTTTTGTTAAAAATCACTTTATGGTTTCAATAAATATCATGAAAAAGTTGTTGTTATAAATAATATAGTCATAGAAGATGATGATTCAAATATTTTTATTAAAAAACGTTTTGATAGCATTGAAAAATAGTACTCCCAAAGACTAATAGCTTATACAAAATCATGTCATGGAAAATAATGGTTCAGAAAACTAATAATTAGCATACTTATTTTATTATAATCACATCACAAATGGCCAATGCCCAAATTGAGAATTAAAAAGTGCACAACAATGTTTTGCCATGCATATTAAAATCATGAGCGAAAGTTATAATATAACTAGAAGCCATTTAAATAAATAGGTATTAATTTATTGAAAATAAATGCAAAAGTAGTTGTAAAGGCAAAAAAATTATGAGGTATTGAAGAAAATACCTAAAGTGGTGTGAAATCAAGTAGATCAAAAAAGTAATTATTAATCATATTATAATATTAATACATCGTGTCAACTTATTTTTAAATTTTAAATTTTAAAATTAAATACTATTTGTATGGGTTGCAAACAATTTATCGTGGTAGCGTGTGTGTGTGTGTGCGTGTGTCTGTGATGAGCAAACATGGTTCCCTTCAAATCCCGAAAACAAGAAGCGGTGAACTTGCCAAGATTCAAGAAGTGGACGGGGAGAAGAACAGGAGATAATGAACAGTAACGCGGGAAACGGAAAGTAGGGGTGCGTCACCGGTGATGTCAAGCAGCTGCTGCTGCTGCTTAACTCAAATACTCAAATTTTTTGTTATTAATAAAATAAAATAAAATAAGATAAAAATTAAAAATTTTAATTTCTTTAAAGATAAAAATTGAAATTAGTTAAAATATAAAATAAAATTTAAAAATTCAAGTATTTGAGCTAACTCAATAAGTTAAAGTGTTAAGGTCGAATTAGGCTACATGAGCTTTGTTATATACTTACATATTTTAATCCCAATCCTTTGAAATAAGTCAGGCCCAAATTGAAATTTGAATTCATAGATTTAGATTTGAAATTTAAATTTAAAATCTCACATTTCAAATCTATGTATTTAAATTTTTTTTATTTGCTAACAAATGTTATTACTATTAGGTAGGGTTTTAAGCACTGTTTTGAAAACCAGACCGGACCGGCCAGTCGGACCATCGACTGGTTTGGTTTCCGATCTGGTTTAAAGAAAAAAAAATCGTTTTAAGAGTTAAGCCAATTTGAGCCGTTTCGAACCGGCGGTCGGATCGGGAACCAGATCCGGTTTTCAAAAACCGGACTGTTCAAAAAAAACTTTTTTTATTTTTTTATCAAATTTTTAAAAAAATGACTAATTTTTTTAATCATTTGATATTATATTGTATCATATGGCTTGTTAAGTCGTGATAAACTTAAAATATTTAATTTTTTTAAGTTAAATAGCAATTTCATATGTATTTCTTATATTTAAATTATTATATACATATATAATTTTTTTAATTTAATTATTACGTCACCAGTTAGACCATTGGTTTAACCGATTGAACCATGTGAACCGTGAACCACTGACTTTTCCGGTTTAATGTCCAGTCCGGTTCTTAAAACATTAGTTTTAAGGGTGCATATAGATATTTAAAATAAAAAATATTTAAAAACATTTCAAATTATAAAAGAATTAAAATAAAATTTTGATAAAATTTAAATTCATGAAGTTTTAACTTCCTAAATAGGAAATTTAATTTATCTCAAATTCAAATCAATATGTATCCAAATATAGTATATGTATTT